AGAGCATCAATAACTCTATCCAGTCCCGAGAGAAGCCCAATGCTGACAACATGCCCTCTAAGAAACCCCACTCCATCCTATCGTACGCTTTAGCCATATCTAGCTTTAGTGCCGCCCACCCCACAGCCCCACAGGTTTTCCGTCTCAAGAAATGCCCTATTTCTCCCGCAACAATAATATTATCCGTAAGAAGTCTCTCAGGCACAAACGCACTTTGAGACTGTGACACAATAGTTCCCAGACTGCCTTTCAACCTGTTTGCCAGCATTTTTGCTAGCACTTTGTAAACAACTTTACAAAGCGCTATAGGACGGAGATCCGACACTTTTTCCGGTGCTTTTTTCTTTGGTATGAGAATAATATTTGCGTCATTGATCCCTTGCGGGAATCGTCTATCATTCACGCATTGAATCACAAACATAGACAGGTCATGGCCCAGAATTGGCCAAAAATGCTGATAGAACGCAGGTGACATACCATCTGGTCCCGGAGCTTTCTCCGGGGCCATTGAGAACAAGGTTGCCTTTACTTCTGGTACAGTAAAAGGCTGCGAAAAGGCGGTGTTCATTTCATCGGACACCATCTTTTTGACACGACCAAAGATATTTGCCGGCGTATTCTCAGAACAAAAAATATCAGTAAAATACCTCAGAACCTCGGTGTGCATCGCCAAGCCTTCTGTCCAGTCCCCGGCTTGATTTTTCACACGCAGCAGCATATTGCGACGACGTCTGGCCGAGGCTGATTTGTGAAAGTATTTCGTATTGGTGTCCCCGTGCTGAAGCCACAGTTGCTTTGACCGTTGCTTCCAAAAAATTTCCTCTTGCCTCAAAAGTTGTTCTAACTCCTTTTCAAATTCAAACCACTGTGTTACTGCATTAGGCGTTCTGTTCTCTTTTAAGCTCTCCAACTTTTTGCGCAGGAACTTGATTCGGTTCCCGAAACGTCGGACGTGTTCGCCACCCCACTTCCCAAGTCTTAAACCACAAATGTGTATGCGCTCCTGAAAATTTAGACCCGTAGAAAGATGCCAAGCTTCCTCGACAACTCTTGTACACCCCTCGTCAAGTAGCCACGCCGATTCAAATTTAAAGGCCCGTCTTGCTGCACGCACCGCTCTGGGTTCCACATCTATAAAGATGGCACTGTGATCAGACGATAAGGCTTGTACCTGATGCACCGTGACATCTTCGTACATCTCAATCCATTCTGTAGTTGCCACCGCACGATCTAGACGTTCTTCCACCCAATCCTCTGTTCCGTGACTCTTCTCCCACGTGAACCTCCCACCCGACATCCCTAGATCAAGAAGATGACAATCGCTGAGTGCATCATTAAAGCCTTCAATGAGGTACTCCGGATGAGGATGAACACAATTGAGATCTTTTAAATGATATACATATTGATATATTTTTAATTGTTTAAAAAAAAATCTATTGGTACATAAAGTCGTTACTTAAGTGTAATTTTATGTACATCAAACTTTCCTTTTATGAACAAATAGAATGAAAATTATGATCCTACTATAGAGTGAATGAAAATAAATAGAGAAAATGGTCAAATAGGCCCTCGAACTTTAGCTTAAAAGTCAATTAGGCCCCTAAACTTTTTAAATGTGCAATTACACCCATCAACAATTCATTTAAGTGCAATGAAGCCCAAAAACAAATTAATGACCTGCTATCAAAGGTCATTAGGGTTCAGGCCACCTTCCAGCGAATTTTCCTGCAAAAAAAAAAAAAAAAAAAAAGTGACCGGCAAAATTTTCGACAAAAGAAGTGACCAGCAAAATTTTCGGCAAATCTGGGTCGGTTGCTGGTCACCTTTTTTTTTGTCGGAAAATTCGTCGGAAGGTGGCATGAACCCTAATGACCTGTGATAGCAGGTCATTAACTTGTTTTTGGGCTTCATTGCACCTAAATGAATTGTTGATGGGTGTAATTGAACCTTTAAAAAATTTAGGGGCCTAATTGACTTTTAAGCTAAAGTTCGAGGGCCTATTTGACCCTTTTCCCAAATAAATATAATGTACCTGCATGCCGCAGTTTAGTATTTATATGCAATAAGATTTAGGTTTATAATTATATAGAACAAATATTATGAACATAATACAAGATGAATGCTATTAAACATAATGCACATTTCCTTTAAAAAAAAAAAAACATAATTCACATGTAATGTAATTTTACGTACATTAAGTTTTATTTTTAAAAATATATAAAAAGAACATTATGGACCAACTATACTAATAAGAGCCAAAAGAAGTTAGGCTATAATGGGTAGAAAAAATGTTCGTCAAATTATTAAATCAAATGAATGGTTCAGATTGTTTAGATTTTAATGTTTCATTGAGATTTTTAAATTTATCCTCAATTATACGATTTCAATAAGAAAGGTCTTAGATTCGACCCCCACCACAATCAAAATTCCCTTAAAAATTATATTATCTGATAACTTACTCATTGATTTCAATAAGAAAGGTCTTATATTCGAATCTCATCCCAATCAAAGTTGGCATAATTAGTACTGTATTTTACTCTTATTAAATTAATTAATTAACTAGTCACCTCCTGAGTGAATGCCCTATCGCCCAAGCGCTCGTGGGCTGAGCGTCTTGACACTTATTATCCTAGCCTTGAATGCACCGAGTTAGGCTGTTGACTTCCTGAGTTCCGACCCCTCTGGTCAAAAGGTCGAGTGCGAGGATTCAGTTGCACGGCAGGCATGAGCAGCGCTGGCGGGAGAGCTTGTCCGCATGCACGGGCTTCGACTGCTTGTGCAATTGCCTCGAACACAGCCGGAGTGAGGGGTATTTGGGGAACCGCGGCGGAGGTAGCTTGCGGTGGAAATTGCACCACGTTTACCTCTTTTCACGGCGGACTTCCTCCCTGCTCCCTGGAATTCTGACGGCTTAACCTTGTACGCAAATCTCCGTCGTTACCCCGTATTCGGCTTCTTCTGGTAGCTTGGCTGGATGCACCTCTGCTGACCATGGTTTTCGTGAGTTGATGATCTAGCAGTGTTCCGAATTGCTCAGTCAAAGAGGAAACGTGACTTTCTGTTAGTTCCCTACAGACGGCGCCAGTGTTGGTTTCTGGACTTTTCAAAAGTTCACCGGGGTCCAACATAACCGAAAAAGTTTGTGGGTCACCGAAAAATTATAAAGAAATGAATAAAATGTCAGGAAAATATAGTAATCTTTTTGTGTATTGATTAGTAGGTGGCTTTTTACAACATTGTCCGAGGCCTTTGTATATGAGTCCAAGCCCGCAAAGGGCTGGTACATTAATGTCTCTAATAAAGGTGGCTTTCAATATTTTTTCCGTTGGCTTCGGTTACTTTTATCCTTCAACGACTAGATGAGGAGTTATATAAGACGTAGTAAAAGCTCTAACGGTTCACTAAGCGCTCGACTTTCGACCTCCATCAGGCCGACTCCTTATGCGGACTCGTTCCTTCTCGATCCTTTCCAAGTTCTTTAAGGGACTCGATTGGTCCTATCGGGCCATGTTTTCCCAGATCCGAGCCTGGGCTTGGAACCCACCGTTTATGGGCTCTTTTAGGCCCATGGTACTATTGTCTTTTGTGCCCACGGTACTTTTCAGGTCCATATCCCATCAATAATAATGCTAAAATATTATTATTATTTTTTTGAATAGGATAAAATATTATTTTAATTACATTCTATATTCATTTGATAATATATGTTATTGTATTGTTCTGAATTTTAGTTTCGTTTTTCACACACACTAATTTTATTTCAACAACATTAAAGTATCATTTTAATTCTACCACAGTTTGATTTGACAACCATGATCCACGTAAATAGCACTATGAACTAGTCCACTGTATACCGTATTAAATCAAGAAATTTTTTTATCTTAATTAAATTAATAAAACTAATTACAAATCAAATAATAATAATAATAATAATAATAATAATAATAATAATAATAATAATAATAATAATAATAATAATAATAATAATAGTAATAATAAAGTAAATACAAAATTAACTAAGTATTGAAAATAAATTATAAAAATTTTACCTAAATTAAATACGAATATTATATAAGAGCAAATTACACTTTTGGTCCTGTGACTATTGGGGGTGTGTTAATTTGGGTACGTGACTTTTAAAACTAACAATTTAATCCTTTGACTATCATTTTTTAGCAGATTGGGTCCTCCCGGCCAAATTGCCGGCGGAATTCGGCCGGAAAGATGTTCGAATTAATAAATGATATAATTGTGGGGGTAATTCCGTCTTTGTAAGTGGAAAATAATTAGCGCGAAAAGCACAGGAACTCTGTTGGAAGTCGAAGAACAAATAGCTATGCCTTATTTCTAAAATCCTCAACCCTAATTTCTAAAATCCTCAACGTACGAGCAACTGAGTGTGAAGTCGAAGAAGGGAATCTGTATCTACAACTGGATTGAGGGGTAGTTCGTCTTCTGCGACTGGATTCGACTTCTCAATGCGTAAAACGTCTGCCATTGGAATGGGGTCTGGCCCAACGACGCTACAACTAAGTAAGAATAAATTTGTTTAACAGTTAAAATTGTACGAATTTTATGAATTTTATGCCGAATAAAGTACTTTATTGTGGAGTAGAGCATATCTAGGGTTTGTCGTGTTGTATATATTGGCATAAAGCATAATATAATTTGTACTTGTGTCTTGAAATTTTGGGACCAAAATCTGGATTTTTGTGTTGTTCTTTTGTGTTCTGTGGGTGGGACCGATCTCTGGACTTTTGTGTTATTCGATTGTGTTCTGTGGGTGGGGACCATTATGTTTATAGTTTTGTGAATATGTCATGTGCATATACTGTGATTATGAAACTTTTCTATATGAATTTATTATTCTGTGTTTTGTGGGAACTACTATTATGACTGTTGCATGTGTGAATGGTGGCTTTACAGGAGTAGGAGTTGGCCCTTTTTCAGTTTTTCTTTTCCATAATGGGATAATAAATAGGGTCGGTGAAGTTAAATATATGGGTGGTGATGTAGAAGTGTATGAAAGAATGGAAGCTAATGAAGTCTGTTTAGATGTGTTGAAGGATAGGATAAAACACTTAGGGTATAGTGAGGTAGGAACAATACTTTATTGTTGGTGGAATGAAAGATTGAAGTTGATACAAACAGACAATGATCTAATATCCATATTGAATGAAGTTAACCTAGGTAAAATGTTGGAGTTTTGGGTTGAAACAATGGATGAGTTGGACTTGATTGATGCTGATATGGTAGCAATTGAGGCAGACAGTGATTGGGAAAATGAGATTGAGGTAGACTGTTTGGGGGTAGATCAGCAGGATGTTGAAGAGTTTGGGGATGGATTAAATGCAGTACAGAAGCAGGAGGATGGGGATGGGTTAAAAAGGGAGGATGGTGATGGCTTAAAACAGGAGAATAAAGTACTTTCTGTAGCTGGAAAAAATAAATTGAAAAACAATTGGGATGAAATAAACTTTTCTGATGAGGACTCAATTGTGGATTCTGATAGTGATGGGGAAGGTAAATGGCCCATATTTAGAGCTGGAACAGACATGAAAGACCCCCATTTCACTTTAGGCATGACTTTTGCTTCCAAACAACAGTTTAGAGAAGCAGTTCAAAATTATGCTTTCATAAATGGCAAAGAAATTAGAACACTTAAAAATGACAAGGAAAGGGTCATTGTTAAGTGTACACAGGAGGGTTGCCCTTGGAGAATAGGCTTGAGGAAAGTAATAGGCTCACTGTCATGGAGAATTTTGAACATGATAGATGAACATGAAGGGTGTTCTTGGGTTTGGGAGAATTCTATGGTCAAATCTTCTGTGGTTGCTAAGAGGTGGTCTACTCAATTAAAAGACCACCCAGATTGGATGATGAGAAAGTTCAATGATAAGGTGTGCAGTCAAGAAGGATTTTATGTGAGTGATTCCCAAGCCTATAGGGCTATTTGGAAGGCAAAGAAGCTAAGAGAAGGTGAAGAGGGAGATAACTTCAAAAACATTTGGAGGTACTATGAAGAAATTTGTAAGACAAATCCTAGGTCAAGATGTATTATCAAGACCAGTGACCTGCTAGATGGGAGTGGACAAGAAAGATTTTTGAGAATATATGTTTGCTGGGATAGTAGCAAGCAAGGCTTCAAGAACTGTAGAAAACTGATAGGGGTAGATGGCTGTCACCTTAGAAGTGCAACAGGTGGGATACTACTGACAGCTGTGACTGTAGATGCAAATGATAGTATATTTCCACTAGCTTATGCTATTGTGGAAGGAGAGAAAAGAGAGTCCTGGACTTGGTTTCTAATGCTTCTGAAAGATGATATGGAGATAAGCCCCAATGTGGAAGATGAATACTGTTTCATAAGTGGAAACCTTTCCCCAAATTCATAGTACTCACTACCATCATTAGAAGAACAAGAGGAATATGAATTAGCCATACCCAGAACGAGTAGATGGAGAATGATGTGTGCCACTGCTTTCTTCTCTTCGTACTGGGTTCGTATCCTTCATGTATGGGTTCGTATCCTTCGCAATGCAATTAGGGTTCTTCTCTATTCGCATATCACCAAATCCGCATAATATATAATTTGCAGCTAATTATTTTCCACTTAAAAAGACGGAATTACCCCCACTATTATATCATTTATTAATTCGAAACATCTTTCCAGCCGAATTCCACAGGTAATTTGGCCGGGAGGACCCAATCTGCTAAAAAAATGATAGTCAAAGGATTAAATTGTTAGTTTTCAAAGTCACGTACCCAAATTAACACACCCCTAATAGTCACAGGACCAAAAGTGTAATTTGCTCTATTATATAATAAAGAGGAAACGTCATAGAAACCACCTTTGAGTGTAATATGCTCATGTTCTTGGATCCTTTATACAATAATCATGAAAATAAACTTGATGGCCGGAAACAAAAAGTGATTTTTTTTTTCTTTATCTAATATAAACTAACATTTTTTATGTGACATTTATTGATATATTATAACCTATGAAAATGAATATAATTTTTGGAATTTTGGCAGCATCATCTAACAAAGAATTGCCAAAAACAAAAGGGAAACTTGGATAAATCAAAATCAATTCAATGGAATGATGGATGATGTATAAAGCAAGCATTGATAAAATAAGACATGCTCTGATACTATCATATGGTATCAGAGCATTGATAAAATAATATAGACTTTGATAAGACATTGTGGTCAAGCGGCATGAAGTGCGTTTTATGTTATTTTTTTTTTTTTTTGTTTCTTTTTATTATGACATCTTCAGTTCCTTAAAGGTCACGAATGACGGACAAGAAGATCGCTATTGATGCTATCAGAGTTTGTTTATAATATGGTATCAGAGCATTGATAAAATAAGACATGCTCTGATAAGACCTTGTGGTCAAGCGGCATGAAGCGACTCTCCCAAGTGGGAGGTCATGGGTACGTGTCTCAGTGGAGGCGGTATTGACTCGTTAGGTTTCAGTAGGTTGAGAAAGTATATATGAAGAGATACTACCTGTAAGTTGGTCAACAATACTATATATAAAAAAAATAGTTAATAAATAATCATCTAACCTGGATTAATGATTTAGCAGTAGAAAAATACAAATGGACCACCGGGAATAGACAAATAGCTCCTCAACTACAACGGTAAACAGGGATGACCCCAAAGGGGCAAGGGTGACAGATGCCCCCCTCACCGTTTATGAGCACTTTTAGGCCCATGGTACTATTGTCTTTTGGGCCTATGGTACTTTTCAGGTCCATATCCCATCAATAATAATGCTAAAATATTATTAATTTTTTTTTTGAATAGGCTAAAATATTATTTTAATTACATTCTATATTCATTTGATAATATATGTTATTGTATTATTCTAGATTTTAGTTTCATTTTTCACACACACTAATTTTATTTCAACAACATTAAAGTATCATTTTAATTCTACGACAGTTTGATTTGACAACCATGACCCACGTAAATAGCACTATGAACTAGTCCACTGTATACCATATTAAATCAAGAAATTTTTTTATCTTAATTAAATTAATAAAACTAATTACAAATAAATAATAATAATAAGAATAATAATAATAATAATAATAATAATAATAATAATAAAAAAGTAAATACAAAATTAACTAAGTATTGAAAATAAATTATAAAAATTTTACCTAAATTAAATACAAATATTATATAATAATGAGTGTAATATGCTTATGTTCTTGCATCCTTTAAACAATAATCATGAAAATAAACTCGATGGCCAGAAACAAAAAGTGATTTTTTTTCTTTATCTAATACAGACTAATATTCTTTATGTGACATTTATTGATATATTATAACCTATGAAAATGAATATAATTTTTCAAATTTTGGCAGCATCATCTAACAAGGAATTGCCAAAACAAAAGGGAAACTTGGATAAATCAAAATCAATTCAATGGAATAATGGATGATGTATAAAGCAAGCATTGATAAAATAAGGCATGCTTTGATACTATCATATGGTATCAGAGCATTGATAAAATAAGACAGACTTTGATAAGACCTTGTGGTCAAGCGGTATGAAGTGTGTTTTATGTTGATTTTTTTTTTGTTTCTTTTTATTATGACATCTTCAGTTCCTTAAAGGTCACGAATGACGGACAAGAAGATCACTATTGATGCTATCAGAGTTTGTTTATAATATGGTATCAGAGCATTGATAAAATAAGACATGCTCTGATAAGACCTTGTGGTCAAGCGGCATGAAGTGACTTTCCCAAGTGGGAGGTCATGGGTACGTGTCTCAGTGGAGGCGGTATTGACTCGTTAGGCTTCAGTAGGTCGAGAAAGTGTATATGAAGAGATACTACCTGTAAGTTGGTCAACAATACTATATAAAAAAAAAATCTCTGGTATGTTACCAAAAAATAAACACAAAATGAGCCAAACAAATCTTCTAACAGTTAATAAATAATCATCTAACCTGGATTAATGATTTTGCAGTAGAAAAATACAGTTAATAAATAATCATCTAACCTGGATTAATGATTTAGCAGTAGAAAAATACAAATGGACCACCGGGAATAGACAAATAGCTCCTCATCTACAACTGTAAATAGGGACGGAGCCAAAGGGGCAGGGGTGGCAGATGCCCCCCTCACCGTTTATGAGTTCTTTTAGGCCCATGATACTATTGTTTTTTGGGCCCATGGTACTTTTCAAGTCCATATCTCATCAATAATAATGCTAAAATATTATTAATTTTTTTTTTTGAATAGGCTAAAATATTATTTTAATTACATTCTATATTCATTTGATAATATATGTTATTGTATTGTACTGGATTTTAGTTTCATTTTTCACACACACTAATTTTATTTCAACAACATTAAAGTATCATTTTAATTCTACCACAGTTTGATTTGACAACCATGACCCACGTAAATAGCACTATGAACTAGTCCACTGTATACCGTATTAAATCAAGAAATTTTTTTATCTTAATTAAATTAATAAAACTAATTACAAATAAATAATAATAATAATAATAATAATAATAATAATAATAATAATAATAATAAAGTAAATACAAAATTAACTAAGTATTGAAAATAAATTATAAAATTTTTACCTAAATTAAATACAAATATTATATAATAATGAGGTAATATGCTTATGTTCTTGCATCCTTTACATAATAATCATGAAAATAAACTCGATGGCCGGAAACAAAAAGTGATTTTTTTTCTTTATCTAATACAGACTAATATTCTTTATGTGACATTTATTGATATATTATAACCTATGAAAATGAATATAATTTTTCAAATTTTGGCAGCATCATCTAACAAGGAATTGCCAAAACAAAAGGGAAACTTGGATAAATCAAAATCAATTCAATGGAATGATGGATGATGTATAAAGCAAGCATTGATAAAATAAGGCATGCTTTGATACTATCATATGGTATCAGAGCATTGATAAAATAAAACAGACTTTGATAAGACCTTGTGGTCAAGCGGTATGAAGTGTGTTTTATGTTGATTTTTTTTTTTTTGTTTCTTTTTATTATGACATCTTCAGTTCCTTAAAGGTCACGAATGACGGACAAGAAGATCGCTATTGATGCTATCAGAGTTTGTTTATAATATGGTATCAGAGCATTGATAAAATAAGACATGCTCTGATAAGACCTTGTGGTCAAGCGGCATGAAGTGACTTTCCCAAGTGGGAGGTCATGGGTACGTGTCTCAGTGGAGGCGGTATTGACTCGTTAGGCTTCAGTAGGTTGAGAAAGTGTATATGAAGAGATACTACCTGTAAGTTGGTCAACAATAATATAAAAAAAAAAAAAAAATCTCTGGTATGTTACCCAAAAATAAACACAAAATATGTTACCCAAAAATAAACACAAAATGAGCCAAACTAATCTTCAAACAGTTAATAAATAATCATCTAACCTGGATTAATAATTTTGCAGTAGAAAAATACAGTTAATAAATAATCATCTAACTTGGATTAATGATTTAGCAGTAGAAAAATACAAATGGACCACCGGGAATAGACAAATAGCTTCCCATCTACAACTGTAAATAGGGACGGAGCCAAAGGGGCAGGGGTGGCAGATGCCCCCCTCACCGTTTATGAGTTCTTTTAGGCCCATGATACTATTGTCTTTTGGGCCCATGGTACTTTTCAGGTCTATATCTCATCAATAATAATGCTAAAATATTATTAATTTTTTTTTTTGAATAGGCTAAAATATTATTTTAATTACATTCAATATTCATTTGATAATATATGTTATTGTATTGTTCTGGATTTTAGTTTCATTTTTCACACACACTAATTTTATTTCAACAACATTACAGTATCATTTTAATTCTACCACAGTTTGATTTGACAACCATGACCCACGTAAATAGCACTATGAACTAGTCCACTGTATACCGTAATAAATCAAGAAATTTTTTTTTCTTAATTAAATTAATAAAACTAATTACAAATCAAATAATAATAATAATAATAATAATAATAATAATAATAATAATAATAATAATAATAATAAAGTAAATACAAAATTAACTAAGTATTGAAAATAAATTATAAAAATTTTACTTAAATTAAATACGAATATTATATAAGAGCAAATTACACTTTTGGTCCTGTGACTATTGGGGGTGTGTTAATTTGAGTACGTGACTTTTAAAACTAACAATTTAAGCCTTTGACTATCATTTTTTTAGTAGATTGGGTCCTCCCAGCCAAATTGCCGGTGGAATTCGGCCGGAAAGATGTTCGAATTAATAAATGATATAATTGTGGGGGTAATTCCGTCTTTTTAAGTGGAAAATAATTAGCGCGAAAAGCACAGGAACTCTGTTGGAAGTCGAAGAACAAATAGCT